ATCGTGCCATCACTAGGGAACGATTTCGGTTTTTTCTTTGAATCACACCTGGGAAGTTCCAGGCCAAACAAACCCAGACTCGAATTGGAGAGAGATTCGAATAGGGAAGGGATTCAAATCAGGGGGTAAAGCCCCCCTGGGTCTCTAATGTTTGTTTATGTTGTAGGAAATAATTTTCTCAGGTTTTCCCCAACAAAATATTGTAGGGCTTCGAAGCAGCCAAGGCTTCGAACTAGGTGGCAGGAACCTTTTGCCAATAACTTTTGATTCAGACTCTGGTGATTCGATTCAGAGTGACGCAGCCAGGCTATCTAATCCAAGACCAGATTCGATTCAAGTCCAGGATTTTGTTTTGTTTTTTTTTCTTTTTTCTAACGAAACCCTTGCAGATCCAGTATCCCAAATTGAAGGATGACACATCCAGATCGAGCACCCCCAGACGTGTAGTCTCTCAGGCACCTTCGATCAAGACTCTTCATTGGATCAAAAGGCAACCCAGGCCTCTTCGATCCAGACCTTCCTTCTAAGAATAAACTCTTTTCATTTAGTGTCTTTGTCTTTCGATTTTGTCCTTTCGTTTGATTGTTTTTATTTATTTCTTCTAAGTTCTAATTAACATTAAAAAAATCACAAAAATAAAATAGACTTAGGTCCTTTCTTAATTAAAATTAATTTTTTACAAATTAATTTGATTTAGTTATTTGATTGATTTAATTAATTAAAATTAATTAGAAATTAAGTTAAAGTTTCAAATCTTTTTCTCAATAAAATACCAAAAACTTCGTTTTTTAAATCAATTATATTTTTAGGACTTTTCAACTTGTTCCCGTCTTGATCTTCGCGCGTTTATTTTTTATATTTATTTTTATTTTCCAATTATGTAATTGTTTCCCGATTTGTAATAGCTTTAGTTAGGTTTAAAATTCTGCTTTTTATTTTCTTGTGTCATTTATGTAATTGCCCCAAGGCCTTGTAATAGCTTAGGAATTTTATTTTCTGCAATTTATTTTCCGCACTATTAACTGCTTAAATTAATAGGATTGCATGAAAAAGACTGAAAAGAAAACGATTAGATAACTCTAATGCGCAAGATAAATAAACTGAATCAATACACTTACACATACGCACCTCTAGGGTATCTCCCACTTCGGTTGCCTTCGGAAACGGTCACAATTCTCGAAACGTGAGAATCTTTAGTGGTTGTCCTTTAGTTCAAGAGATCACAAGTCCCTCGATGACCCTTTTGACGTTGCCTCAGTTAAAAAGTGATAGAATTTTAGGACAATTACTAAAAGTTCAGTTGCCTTAGTGACTGTAAACGTCCCTTCGATAGTCCCTCAACATCCAACGATAGGGCTACCTACTCATTAGTAGTAGGATAGCACTATCTAAAGGAAAGGAGGAAAATAATATCTTTTTCGAGTAGGTAGATAACTGTTAGGTACTTGCTCAAAAACAACCTTTTCACACTACACTTTCAAAACCTTTTTCAAAAAAATGCTTTATCAACACTCTTGAGGACTAATACAAGAGTTATCATAAAGCAAACAAACTTTTCAAAACACACAAACACGAAAGCAATTTTCAAAAATGAGCAAGTATCTAAGAGCCTGTGGAAAACCACAGATGGAAAAGGTGTTAGCACCTTCCCTTTCCATAATCTACCCCCTTACTCAGAAAATCTTGAAAAAGGTCTTTTCTGTTCTTTTCACCCTTTCCTTTGTTGGATAAAATAAAAGTCGATGGCGACTCTTAATTAGCGCAAATTTGCGAATACAAAATGCAAAACCAGTATAACAGTCGGTTCTGCCACCGTATCACAAGGACCAACATGTGTAGTTGTCGAATTCAGGAGCTAACACCATGAGTAATGTTACTTTATACTTTATGTATAACCAAGTTCCATCAATTTGTATAATAGGTTTGCAAAATGTAAAACCTTTGATGCATGGTTCATACGCCCAGAACAATCGATGAAATATTCCATTTCCACTGACACGAGTTTTGTCTGGGGTAAATACCGGGAGTGTCTCCAAAATTATAACAGTTCCTGGAGCATATATTTGAGTGCCACAAAAAACCTTGGTTGTTGTCAATTAAAAATTGAGACTTGTAAAGAATTTTGTAAACTGGACCACACTGTAATTTTGCTTCTAGTCTATCTATGAAAAATGCAAAACTTGATTTCTTGTTTGTCCTAAAGCGGATAAAATCGCTATTACAAAAATTAAAACCAAAGTTATCGCAGTTGAACGTCTCACCGTTAATATGAGCAATAACACTATAATACTGTGACTGATCCATATGTTGAGGTATGTTTTTGTGAATTATGGATGTGCACTAGTAATGCGCCTTAAACTGACGCTTAAATAGATGGAAGAAAGTATGGGAAATACAACACTAATGCGCCACCCAATATGGATTCTCTTCTAAAATTACAACATATGCGCCACCTAGGATGGTGTGTCCTCTAATTTTTGTAAGCATGTGCCAACTTGGGTGGCTTGTCATGTGAACGACAAGCTTGCATGCATGCCATCTGATCACTACCACGCTACAACATTGTATGCATGCAAAAAGGAACAAGCCATGTTGAATGGCGCCTTAATGTAAAAACAAAAGGATGCGCCACCTAGGGTGGCGTCTACATGTTAATTGCATGACAGAGCATTCTCACGTGAATGCATAGTATTTCTCCATATTTTCCTATAAATACATATAACATTCACACTATATTTTCATCACAATCATAACTCACACACTATTTCTTTCTTGAAACATCAACAAGAACACAAGAGTAATCAAGAAAAAATGGCTCTCTTGACCATAAGTGACCAACATAGAGGAATTCTCAACAATATTAAAACCTTTGTAAGTTTATTTTCTTCAATACCTATTATTTGTTAACAAATTTGCTTTCCATAGTTCTTATGATTGCTATACGTAAATCTTATATTTCTTATACGTAATTCATGTTTTTAATAGGATGTTAAAAGATTTTATTGTCGTATCCATGAGTATGTTCCTTATGACGTACAAATTGAACCGTACTTACAATAAGTCAGTTTTGGTCTGGTAATCAACATAGTCAATTACCATGTTGACTATAAAATTATTCTCGCATTAGTGAAAAGATAGAGACCCAAAACTCACACCTTTCATCTTCCATATGGTGAATGTACCGTCACACTAGAGGAAGTGTACATGTTATTGAATCTACCAATCGATGGTAACCCTATCAATGTGTTAATTAAGTTTAATATTAATATTAGATTAATACTCCTTTTCCTCTACAATTTGTATGGAGACCGTATAAGGATGTCAACCATAAGATTAACCCAGCTGATGCTGAAGTCTGGACTGCAAAGACAGCGCTCACCAGGTTCACTACTGTGGAGATGCACCACAGTGACCGTGTGAAGCTATAGTTTGGCATACAACGTGGTATCTCAGACCCCTACGTGTTTGGGACAATGACATATACTCAGAGTTGATGACCAATAGGGATATAATGATTTGAGAGACTTTGCTAGAAATCAATATCATCAATGGAGGCATCGACGTGAATTAGTCCTAAGGGAGTCGATCTTGCAAGATAAATTAAAACCAACTCTCTAATATTTGACATGATACACATTGATTTAAACAAATTTGTTTTTGTCTCATGAGACATATTTGATCGACCCACACCAAAGAGCTGCATCATACGTCCAACAACAATCCTAATATCCAACCCCTCAACAATACCAAATCCAACAACAATGTCAACCCACTCAAACCCAACAACCATACACCACCACATCCAACCAAACCCGTCATCAATTCATGTCACACACACAAACATAATACCAAGAGCATGACCCGATCCACCACCAACAATATGCACCCTCCACATCCTATCACAACACTGAAGACACATATGATATCTCTCCTTCATACCATACCACCCAACCTACATACAATCAAACTCACTATCGAAGTACCCAACCATCATATGGATTTCAGACACCTCAAGAAACGTTGCTTCGTTTCTAAAATGATTCAACATCTCAATTCTATCAACTACCCCACCCACACATATCCCAACCAACAAGACCAAACTTCAACAACATGGTCACTGATCTCTTTGGAAGCACAACACAGTGGAGAGAAATGATCGAGAAGATGTATGATCCTAATGTACCAGGACTATCACATCAAGCATCTCATCATCAAACGAGTCAGAACAGACTCCAAACACCTCAGAATTCAGCAGAGAGTGGTGAGGCAAGGGGTGAGGCAAAACAGGGGCGTTTATGTCATACAAGGACACACTTAGGTTGGAGGGAACGTCTGTAAAAATATGTATCTATGCATTGTGTAATTTAAAATATTAATATAAAATATTTTTAATTACTTTTATTATTATTTTAAAAAAATTAATAACAACAACTGTCAAACCATATAATATGACACTTCCTCCTTAAAATTACATGCATATGCCGCACTGCATGGTACTACATAGAAAGATAAACCATCAATGTAGCACATCCTCTCTAGTTTACTTGCATGTGCCACACAAAATAGTTTGACTTCTATATGACGAATTTTTTTGTTTGAAAAATTGTTACTTTGATAATCTTTTTGAAAAAATAACTATTTGAGAATTATTTTTTTTAAAATTATTTTAAATTTTTTTCCCCAATATCCGCTTGCTTTTTACCCGTCTAAAGAAACCACTTGAAAGAAAACCTTTTCAAAATAACTTTCGACACAAATTATACTTAAAAAAAAAAAAAAACATTAAACGATGTCGTTCCACTCGGGCAAGTCCCTGAAAACCAAGTCTACTGATCAGTATAACTCACCATCTTCTCCGGAGCGCTGTCACCGCCACTCCGTCGGAACGCGTTTTCGTCATAATTCAATCAACTCTTTCGAACCCTAGCGCAGTGCCTCCCGTCTTCTCCATCTTCACACTTCAAATCAGGTATTCATCTACGATCTTAGTATTTTCGTAATCATGTTGTTTGTTTCTTGAGATAATGACGGGATTTGGCTACTGATGAAGGGGTTTTTGTGTGCACGTGGTTGTGTAAGGGAGTGAAAGGCGCGTGGACGGTGTGAATTTTTCTGTTTGTGTTTATGTTTGTGTTGCTTCTTAGGATGAGATTATTGAGAGGTTGGGGTTTGAGGTGCAACTTAAGTAGAAATGAGTATGTGGATGATCTTAATAGCATCATGAAGAAGAAGAAGAAGAAGAAGAGAAACACAACAGCGATAAGGGTTAGTTTGGGATTGCATGTGAATTGTTTGTTGGATTGCATTTTGGAAATACCGACAGAAAATATGCCTCCTGACTCCTGTGCAATTATCATATCGGTTTTATTTGAATGGGAATTAGAACATATATGTGTAACGGGCGGTGTTGGAAATTGGAAATGTAAATTTTCTATACAGTAAAGTGAATTCTGATAGGATTGTAATGATCTGTTTATGATTGATTTAAGTTTCTGATGAGATTTTTGGGGTTATTGGTTGTGGCTAATATATATGCACTTTAAAACATCCAAGACTTTTGAAAAATGAGTGTATTCTAGGTACAAAGAAGGATGAAAGGGTTTGTTGATGCTTGTTCTTGCTTGGTTGACTCTTGCATGAACCATATGATTCCTTCAAGATCATTATGACTTAACTTTTTGGATGTTTGCTCCCTATAATAATTTTAGTTATTTCATATCTAACTATCAGTTCAAACAGTGTGAGCTGAAAAACAATGGCAAGTGCACCTGCTGAAATTCCTATAAGCTTTGGACATGATTTGAGGGCTTGTCTTCGTTGCCGACTTGTCAAAACCTACGATCAGGTCTTACTTCCCCCTTCTTTTATCTCATCATTCTTTTCTTTTTTGCTTTCTTATTTTTTATGATTATAAAACAATCACCGTTTTCTGATTCACAGTTTAGAAGGTCAGGTTGTGAGAACTGCCCATTTTTAGAGATGGATGAAGAACGCGCGGCTGAATGCACTACCCCCAATTTTAATGGGTAGGTCTCTGTCATATCTCTTTACATCAAAACCCTAATCACCTTTGAAATTTCTTATTGTCATTTTGTTTTTATTCGTCAAATTGGTTTTCAGGATCATTTCAGTAATGGATCCAACTCGAAGTTGGGCTGCCCGGTGGTTGCGCATTGGTATATTCATTTATCTTCTGTTACACACCATTATAATTGTGTCTTGCTTTGCCTTCCAGTTTTCTTTCCCCTTTACAATATCTTGATGATAAGTGATAGCATTACTTTGTAATATATAACTTGTCACATGCCCGTGCAAATGGATGGGTGACAGTCGGTGAATATTAACTTAAGTACTAACAATAAAAACAATTATTAAAAATTACTTGAGAAATATCCAAACATATGCATGATATAACATCAAACAGCAATATAATAATCAAAACAAAATTAGGATTCATTATTTTGCATTATAGAAAAGTTGCGACAACAATAGGTGTAGAAAAAGATATTGTAAAACACTATTTGATCTTGATATAGTAAATTATTTTTTGCAAGGCATTTACTAAACATAAATCATACATGGATATGTGGTTAATCTCTTCAATAACTTGATATAAAAAAGAATAGCATGATCAAACTTGGTACATAATTTGCTCTAAATAATGCACAGGGAGATGCCAATTTTTTGTAAATATATGATTCGAAATATGTGTATACCTCTTTGAGTTAAAACCTGGTTATGTATTTTAGTGAGCAACTATTGTGTGATTGATACTTGGAAATGATTTCCATTGGCGTGAGCTTGATACTTATATTATAGAGAAGAGAATAGAGATAAAAACATATATCAATGTGTTTTTTTTTTTGTTAAATTTTATCTTGTTTGTTCTTTCATTTTTCTCTTTCAACTGCAAGGTGGCAATTAGTTTATTTTTTGAATTTTTTTCTAGAGTGAACACTGTCAATTAGTTTTTTCTTTTTGAATTTTTATCTAGAGTAAACATTGGAATCTTGTACACAGGTGAGGATTTGAAATTTAGGGTTTTCGTAATTGCAGGAAAATTTGTTCCTGGTGTTTACACTCTTGCTGTCTCAGAAGCTCTTCCAGAAGAGATGCAGGTTTGTATTTTTCTTGTTGTGTAATATAGATTCAGCTTATATTACTATTGGTTTTGAAGAGATTTTAGTCTTTGTTGAAATACATAGTTGTCGGTTTTCTAGTATAGGATTGACAAATAATCATTCGGTCAGTGTATCCAGCCACATTATTTGATTCAGCACTATAGTTTCCTTCTCTATTAATAATTTTGTAGGTTTTTTTCCGCAAATTATAAGACCACAAATAAGATAACGTGTTATCCATTTTCCACTCTATTTGAATGTAAAGTTAAAATAGATAGCTATTTCACATCTACTGTAATCACTAAGACTGACAACTGTCAGTATAGGAATAGCTTAACCTACTGCAACAGGTTTCCCTAGGTTTCCCTAGATGTTGGATATAAAGCATCAAGTGTTAGTTTGTAACTAACTTCCAATATCAATGAAATTTTGTTATAATAGAAATGAAAACCCTCTACAATCTAATATGGTATCAGATTGCTGAGTTGATCTATGGTAGAGATTACTCCACCGTCTCGCCTTCCTTCCTCCGCTCATGTTCCCCTGCTCCAACGCCGGTGGCCGATGATTCACGCCGATTACACTTTTCGCTCAAAATTGCGCAAAAGTTGGATGAAAAGAACATTCATCTCTGGCGTCAGCAGGTGGAACCGTATATCAACGCTCATGATCTCACCAATTTGGTTGTTTGCACTCGTGTTCCGCCGCAATTCGTGGATGATGAAGCTTGCCGTACTAGTTTGGTAAATCCAACTTATTCCATTTGGATTCAGAAGGATCAGATGTTGTTATTGTGGCTTCAATCCACATTATCAAGTGAAATTCTTTCACACGTGCTTGGTTGTTCTCACTCTCACCATCTGTGGGATCGCCTGTTCAATTACATTCAGAAACAAACTCGTGCTAGGGCACGCCACCTGCGTGTTGAATTGCAGGCAATTACTCTTCACACACTTTCTGTTCAAGATTATCTTCTGAAAATTTGCATCATCGTTGATGATTTGGTCTCTATTGGTGATCCTATTCCTACTTCTCATCATATTGATGTTATTCTTAAAGGTTTATCAGCTGGATTTGCTCTTGTGGTAGTTGAAAGCAAGTTTGGTGTTATGGACATTGATGGAGTTGAAATTCTTCTTGCTCATGAGCTGCGCCTGACTAAGTTCAAGAAACAACCAATTCCTGACTCAGTCTCTCGTATCCTCACTCATGCAGTGCCCTGCTTCTGAAGAATCTCAATCACCCAATGCCGAATCCTCTTCTTTCTCATTCTGGTGCTCCCAGTCTGGTGCAAGACTATCAACAATTTCGTGGTGGCAGAAGCAATCGTGGTGGCAGATTTGGTCTGAGGTGGCAGGTCCTCAAACTCCAATACTCAGTGCCAAGTGTGTTCTAAGATTGGTTATTCTGCGCTCAACTGCTGGCACAGGTTTAACTATCATTTTCAACCTATGGCTAGTGGAGGCAATTACATGCAGCATTAGTGGCATGGTGCTCATACCTATCTTCCTCAAGTTCCTCCCCAAGCCTCTCCTTATGTGTGGTCCAAACCTCCCATTTCATCAGCATATGCTCCATTCATCACAAATCCTCCAAGTACTTCTGTTGCAAACATCTTACCATCAACTTCAGTTCAGGATTGTGGTTTCTTGACTCAGGAGCCTCATATCATGTTACTAGTGATGTCCAGAACTTACAACAAGTGACTCCTTTTGAAGGCCATGACCAAATCTACATTGGTAATGGGCAAGGTTTGGGCATTAAATATGTTGGTTCTAGTTCTTTTCCCTCACCCCTTCACAGATTTAGGCATCATCCATCGCCTTATTTGTCCTCACACACACACAATCAAAGTGCCTTATTTGTCCTCACACACACACAATCAAAGTGCCTTATTTGTCCTCACACACACACAATCGAAGTGGTGTAGTTAAAAGGAAACATAGACATATAGTTGATCTTGGACTTACCTTGTTAAGTCAAACTTCTCCCTCTAACCTATTGGGATTATGCTTTCTCCACAACTGTGTATCTTATAAATAGGTTGCTTTCCTCTTCTATTAATTTTCAGGTTCCTTATACACTCTTATTTCATCAACAACCTGACTATCAATTCCTTAAGGTTTTTGGCTGTGTATGTTTTCCTCTCTTAAGGCCTTACACTCCTCACAAACTTGATTTCAGGGTGCTTAATTCTTGGTTACTCAACCTCCCACAAGGGTTATCGATGCCTAGCCTCTAGTGGAAGACTTTATATTATCAAAGATGTCCTTTTCGATGAATCTAGATTTCCTTACTCTGAGTTATTTCCCCCATCTAAACTTGTTCGACCTCCCAGCCACAATGTATCCTTGTCTCCCGTTCCTGAGTCCTCTACTCTTGCAGCAACCTCCTCAGGAACCTCCCTCTCTGAGTCTTCTACTTCTGCCAAAAATTCTCCAAGTACCTCCTCAAGGCAGTCCAGTTTTGCTTCTCAGTCCAGTCCTACCATTTCCGAGTCCTCGGCAAATTCTGAGCCATCTATTCCTTCCAAGGCCATTCCTATTCTTAATAGACCCGTGAACTTACATAACATGCAGACTAGGGCAAAATTTGGCTTCACTCAGCCAAGACGTGAACCTAGAGTTCTTATTGCTCATTCTGAACCAAAGTCCATCAAGCAAGCACTTGTTGACTTGCATTGGAAAAGCACCTATGCAGGATGAGTTTGATGCTTTACAAAAGAACAATACATGGTCACTTGTTCCCCTACCTCCTCACAAGAATGTCATTGGTTGTAGGTGGGTTTTTAGGGTCAAGGAAAACCCTGATGGCACTGCTAATAGATACAAGGCCAAATTAGTTGCCAGATTAGTTGCAAAAGGATTTCATCAGAGACATGGACTGTATTTCACTGAAACCTTCTCTCCTGTTGTGAAACCTACTCCCTCCATCCCAAAATAAGTGTTATATTTAGAAAGTAGATTTGTCCCAAAATACTTGTCACTTTATATTACCAATGCAATTTTATATTTAATCTTCCAATTGTACCCTCTAATAAATACTCTTAATTTATTGTTTTTTCACTTAACATTAATGCTAATTTGAATACACCCATAGTTAATCATGATAATTTGGTAAAGTCACTATTCTCCCTCTCTTTCATTTATTACTATTTCTTAATCTGTGTGAAATGGTCAATTGCAACAAATAATATGGGACGGAGGGAGTATTACAATTAGAGTTATTTTTACTATTGCCATATTGCCACCACACTTGTCTATTCACCAACTGGATGTCAATAATGCATTCCTAAATGGGTTGCTCGGTGAAGAGGTCTACATGGAGCAGCCTCAAGGCTTTGTCACTCTAACTCTTCCTTGGTGTGCAGATTGAACAAAGCCCTCTATGAACTCAAACAAGCCCCTAGCCAGTGGTTTGAAAGATTTCAAGAGACTTTATTCAAACTGAACTTCAGGGCCTGCAAATTTGATCCTTCTCTCTTTACATACATCTCGGCAACATGCCACCATCACTAGGCCTGCCATTACCTATGCTGTCAATAAGGTGTGCCAATTTATAGCTCATCCTCTTGAACCTCACTGGGTGGCTGTCAAGTGGATACTCTGATATTTAAAAAGGACTCTTAATCATGGTTTGTTGCTATTTCCTCTTTTCCCTCATACCCCTCCTTCTCTCCATGTTTTCTGTGATGTTGATTGGGCCTCTGACTCTAATGACAAAGAAGGACTTCTGGTGCCTGCCATTTTCTTTGGTCCAAATTTGATATCTCGGTGGTCAAAGAAGCAACCAGTGGTTGTCAGGTCCAGCACCGAGTCAGAACACAAAAGGTTGGCTCAGAAAACCTCTGATCTGCTCTGGATTCAGACTCTTCTTCAGGAGCTTTGCATCATCACCAAGCCTCCTGTTATCTTGTGTGACAACCAGTCTTCTGTCCTCTTGTTATCTGTTAAAATAGATAGCTATCTCACATCTACTGTAATCACTTAGACTGATAACTGTCAGTATAGGAATAGCTTAACCTGCTACAACAGGTTTCCCAAGATGCTCTATATAAAGCATCAAGTGTCAGTTTGGAACTAACTTTTAATATCAATTAAATTCTGTTATAACAGAAATGAAAACCACCACTCTACAATCTAATACACTCTTTCCCCAGCCTACTGATATAGTGAATTGATTTGATGAAATATTGGTTTAGTTTTAGTTGCACTATCTATTGTAAGGCTGTTGTCCAGATTTTGTGTTTTATAGCAGCAAACACTGTAGATTTGAGTTCTATGGCATCTATTAACTTCGGTTTTGTCTATTTATAATTGTCTCGACATTATTCCACTCTTTCACAAACTCCCGCCACTCCCAAAAACCATAATTTAACTTGTTTTTTCTTTTGGATTTCCGCCTAGGATTCACCTTTATCCATTAGTTTAACTGGTCGGATATTAAATATCTGGCAGTTTATTCAGTCTTTTTCAAAGGTGCTGAAAACTTGACTTTAAAATCCAAATTACTGTTAGGGAAGCTCTAAACTCACATGCTGAGTTTTGTAATACCACTGCCTTGCGAATTGGGACTTTTAATAAATGTGTTAGTGGTTATCAATGTCCAGCAACTAAAATAAGGTTACTTTTGCATTGAACTGTTTGTTATATTTTCAAGCATGATGAAATTAGGCTTTGCTCAACCTGTACAACAAAATAAAAGATACACGTTTGTTCGAGCTACCCAATACACAATAATTATTTTGAATTACTGTTGTATGTTGAACGTTGTTCACTTATTTTAATGCTTATGCTCATTTGCAGGCAATTTGTGCAGATAAGCATGTGCAGTATATGCCTCCCAGACGTTAGTGGAACAAGTAAATATTGCCTTTGTGATATATAACATGGTTGGAACAGAATATGTACTGATGTGGATTTTAATGCTAGTTTTGTACACGTGCTTTCTTGAAATGCTTTGTTAAAATTCTCTAAACAGAAATTAATTAGTGTGTGTGTACATGAGAAGAGCTCTTGAAATGCTTTGTTAAAATTCTCTAAACAGAAATTAATTAGTGTGTGTAAATGAGAAGAGCTCATGAAAATAACATAATATAGCTTTTTTTGACTGATAGTTATTCGCCAAAGCAGTTTATCGAACTACTATCATGCAAGCGAATTCCCAAATTGCGTTCTTTCAGCTGTTTTGGGTAAACATGGTTAGCACCCATTAGTTTTATTTATTTAGTTGCAATACTAGCAGCGAGGTTTGAACTAATAATAATAAATATTTCTTATGAATTAGTGTCAATGGTGCAAATGTTTTAGTAGTCAGACACATGTGTGCTCTAATTTTGGCACTTGCAAGCAAATGTACGTCAATGGTGCAAATGTTTTAGTAGTCGTCGCATGCGTGTACTCTAATTTTGGCGCCTGCAAGCAAATGTTTTGTCAGTGTTTTCATGCTTTGTCCAAACACTGTTCCTGTCTCTTATTGCGTTTTGATTATAATCATAGTTTTCGGTTAGGCTAAATTTACAGTAAGTAAATTTTATCAATAATTTGCTTATAACTTATAGCCAATATTGAAATTGAAGTGGGTTGGTAGAGAAAAACAGAGCAAAGATGTGAGATATGGCATTATATCAATTGAAAAGAATGTAGCAGGGTTAATATCATAGCACATGCAGGATAACAAAAGGTAATCATAATGTAGTCGTAATATCTTGGAGTCATATGTAGGACATCTTTTTTGTAAGGGATTATTACCGGGAACACCTAGGTTGTTAATTTCGGAGAGTTGCATGTAGGGGACCACTGATTAACTGGCCGCTAGCCAGACCATGGCTTACAGGCCGCTATAAATTATGAGCTTTAAAAACTAAGGGTCAAGATTTGAAATTATAATTTTTAGAATGACATTTTCAGAATTATTATTCCTATGAATATTAATTTATGTATTTGGTAAAAAATTGGATTCCTAGGAATTATTATAAAATTTGTTTATTTTAAAATAATAAAAATAATAGAAAATGTGAATGTTAGTAGAAAGTTATAATTAGTCAAATTTATTTCCATGAAAATAAACATAAAAGAATCACGTGTAAAAAAGATTTCTTAAAATAAGAATATTGCATTCTCATAACTACAAATAATTTCTTAGACGTGGTTTTTGTTATTTTTCAATAAAAATATGATGTGTACTTAAATATAATTTAGAGAGTGAAAATATGAGGAACAACAACATATTTAATATGAATACTTGAATATTTTAATTATTATAAACACTTTAATATTTTAATTAAGTTATTTTTGAAATTAATTATTATTTAATACAAATTTTTAAAATGCGATTTTTGGGTTTGGACTCAACATGGTTATCCAATGTTGACATTTAGGATTATTTGAATAATCTATATAAAGCATAAATATAATTATAGCATTACCAGTGTGGGACTCACACTTCAGTGCAATTAACCAGAGTGCAATTACAATAGCTACACTGCTCCACTGTCTTTTTTGTTTATACAGCTCTACCATGGACCTAGCAGCTGCCGCATGTGTTGAGTTATTATTCATGTTTGTGTGATTTAAATAATTCTACATAAAAGATACAAAGAAGAAGAAAAAAAAATGAGACGAAGTACTCAAAGGTAGATAATAAAGGGTAATAAGAAATATAATACATTTATCCCAATATTAAAATGGAAATAAACAATAAACGGAATAATCATTGGACATTAGTGTGATATTTTCAAAATTTAATAATATAATAAAAAAATAAAAAAAAATAAAAAAGACAAAATTGTCTAATTAAAATAATTTATTATTTTTTAAATGAGATAATAAATTAATTTTAATATATTATTCTGTATATAAATATATTTTAATCAATAATATAATTATTTTAAAAATAATAAAATTGTATATCAGATAAATAAATTTATTTTACTAAAAATAATAACTCATGTGTTCACATATATTTTGGTATGACTATAATATATCAATACACGTACGAAATACAAATTAGAAAAATATAAAATATATTTTGGATATTTCTTTAATTTGTATTTCTCTAATTTTTTTATCATCCATGTTATTTTATAAAGAAATTAGAGAAAATAGATAATACACGAATGATGTAAAGAAATATTGATGATTTTCAATTAGATATAAAATTTCTTTAACCGACTGTGCATGTCCATTGAACTCAAAAAATTATTTTAATTAAGATTTTTTTTTAAATTCACATTCATATGAAAATTATTATTTAATAAATTTAAAAAAAAATATACAAATTGGGTTGATAGCCAGCTTATTTCTCCAACCCACAAGCTTTTGTTTCACCATAGTTTATCATATATATATATATATATTCAAATTAATCAAAACTCACTCGATGTGAGACTTTTCAGTAAGCAATTTTCTTTACGAACTATAAAAACAATCGAGCCAGATTGTGAACTTCACGCTTGACTATAGAAAAGGGAGCAATTGATAATTTTGAAATATCTCCCACTATCACGCAAATATGCGTCTCAAGAGAGAAAATAACAACAAAAAACAGTGTTATACTGATTTTGAATTGTGAGACCACTTGTTTCATTTCTCTTTCACAAACTAAATTGTTATATATTTGCAAGAGAACTGAACCAACTTAAACAATGAAACAATGTTTCTATTTTAACTATATACTTATACATGCATTATTAAATGATTTGGAGTTAAATGTAATGAAACTGCTAGAATTAAAAAAATAAAAAGAATTAGTATAGTTTGTACACTAGACACATTCTTTTGACATACACAAGTCTCACTCTTTTTTAATTTTCTTGCTAATAACTTCATTTTCAAAATAGTTTTATGCTCCAATCCATTCTTAACAAAAAGGAATTATTTACCCAATTTTTATGTGAAGCCACAAAAAATATATATTCAAATGAATCAAATCATCAGCAAAATGAAGCTTCTAGGAGAAATACAGTAGCAAAATGAGTGGTTAAATCAATATAATTACTTGGACTTCTATGTGCCTCAGATGTGTTATATACTTCTCCAGCAAAATTGTCTCGACACCGAAAGAAGCAGTTGCTTCACGTTATGCTGCAAGGAATTTCAAGTATTGCAGGGACATGCTTATTATAACTATCAACCAGAAACCTTATCATATTTGCAAGCTGCACAGTCAAAGAAATTATAAGATCTTTGAATAGATAAATAACTCAAGAAAGTAAAATCCAGATTAGCAAGAAGGTTTCACAATGGTTAAATAAGCTAAAAGGACTGATTCAAGTATCCAACTGATAACTAAACAGCGTATAACTTATCAACATTTTTTTTGCAATAGCGTAACTTGTCAACATTTAAACTCAAAGGATGACTGTTGAAAGAGTGTCAATTTTATGTCAACATTGGCCTGTGACCTGTCTAATAAAATATCCAGTTATCAAGCATAATTCATTAACCCCGTGAAATTGACAAACTTGATGTCAGTTTTCTAGTAGTCTAGCCATGTGTATCATAACCTGTATAATGCGATAGCAGAACTGCACCATTTGGCCGCTGAATCAGTAGTTGTCATTCTCAAGCTTTTGTTGAATAAAACGGCTTCCATATTGGTCAGCACTGCACCATTCATGTTGATTGGTGCCAAACAGTCCAAATATTGACAATAACTGGCATAAGTTAAGAATAAAAACACATATTATTACATTTAAATTCAGACAATTAACAGTATCAGAAAAGAAAACATGATGTGTACAAACTAGAGTGCATTTGTCTTAAGCCAACTTGGTCTAACATGGAAATGAAATATTAATGTGGATGTACACGAGAGAGAACAAACAATCACCTCGAGAACCAAGCGAGAGAAACCAAACTTAATCAACAAAAGGGCATGTTCTACTTTCCATTTTCCTTCCTCATCATGTAGCCATACTAAAAGAGCACATTTGGTGCAAATTGACATCAAATTGAGAAACTGGAAAAGTGAAGGATATATGTGACTCATCTAAAGAACAGTTTGGAGAAAAATTCAGTTTTAAAACTATATATTAATTTGTAGAGTAGGTCAAACAAAATGTATTGCAATAGCATTATTCATTTTCTAAATCTTTAATTCTTTTGGTTGTATCCTCTTCTGAAGAAGCTTTAGAAACAAACATCATTTTCAGATTAACTATCCCTTTCGCTAAATATTTGGCATCGAGCTCGCTTTCCATCAATGCATACCTGAATTCAATGTAAGGTTAGTTTTGAAAATTCAATTTATATTCATTATTCATACAAAACAGTGTTCTGTTATTGTGCTTAGTTATAAATCTCCTGGTTGTTACAGTGTGTCGCCGCTATCCCCAGATGTCGAAGTCCTAATGCTCCATGTCGAACTTCAACTCCATCATCCTATTCTATACCACAATGCTATCTATATCAAAACGGATGACAATTATGTATCAGATTAACAGTGAAGACATCGATCAAAAAAAGTTCTATAAGTTACCTTGTGTAATTGTTGAACAACCTAATGTTGCAGACATTGTTTGTACGTAATGTATATTTCTACAACTGAGACCATACTATATCCAGAATTCCATAGATAACTACATTCTGAAATCCAGTATCAGACAATAAGAAAATTATTCATTTCAATCAGCTTAGACATAACACCTGAGTACACAAAAATAATTATTTTATATGGTAAAATGATCTTCAATAACATTAGATTCGATTGCAATCATGACCGAACATATAAATTATACCTTTCCTTCATCTTCTGCATGCTCTGCATCTGCTTCTTATAATGATTTTCTATGTAAAGCTTTGTCGCTTCAACCCTCTGTTGAGTTGCATTCGAAGGCTGATCTTCATTGATCAGTGGTTTTGACCATTATAGGTTTAGAATTTTTCAAAAACATGATCTGGTGGTATGAAAAGTCATCGGAACAATGGAACCCTAATATTGAACATAACACCTACAAAGTTTGAAAACAAATAAGAACACAACAAAATAAATATGGGGACAATAACAGATAGAAGAAGAGAAATGTTGTGAATCAATGAAGCCTGGTTGAGAACAACAACTTACAGCAAAGATGAGAGCAAACAGTATAAATGATGTCTCGAATTTGAATCGATGTTTAATTTTTTGGTAAGTTTAGATTGGATGTATGTTTATTTGTAGGGTAGAAGAATAAAATAAAGCATTTGGGCCGGATTTGAAAGGTTGATTACTTCACAAGCATACAATGTATTTTGGCCAATCAGAGAACTCTTCCCTTCACGATATTTAATGATTTTCGGCTCAAATTTACTAGACTTTAGTTGCCCTCAAAAAGCAAACTTTTTCCAATCACAGAAAAGGGTAATTTTAAGATTTTCAGAACATATTGTTTTCTTATAACATAAATGTTAATGGAAATCTGAAACCTTTAATGTAAAACATAGGTATTTGGTTACAAATTGGTTTATCTATCGGTCATGAGAAATCATTTTAGTTTCACATTATTCTAGTATTTTTTAATAAATGATTATTTTGAAATGTAGTCGCATTTGCACACAAAAATAAATATAGTGGCCATTTGATGAAAAGAGAACTCATATCCTAATTGAACTCTTTTATTGTAGTTATTTAGGTAATAATTGATCGTATCTAACCATAAGGAATCATCGATAGCCCACAAACTTAAATGAGACGGTTGTTGAAGTGAATGGGAGAGGTACCTACAAGGTACTCTGATATCAAAGTAAGAGTTTAGACAATCTGAGTGTAAGTAATAGAAGTGAGGTTGAATGAATGAATACCTGACCCTCTTATGTGAGAGAGTATTTATAGCCCTGAGCGCTGGGCCAAGATCCATGTATTAGGCCAAGTGATTTGGGCCCAATAACAAGAATTGTCGGGGTTACATGGGTAATGGGATCTGGCACGTGGTCCCCCTCCCTGGTAAAACGCCCCAAAAATATAGGGGTAATGGACCCGTTATTCTCGAAGGGCAAGTGGCGGTTGATGTGACTGTTGACTATGTTTCTTAATAGGCACGTGAGAAAAATCTCCAACGGCTATCTGACTTGGGCTTGAAGTTATTGGGCCATAGGCAGAGGCGCTGGATTGAGCCTGCCCATCTGTAGGCCAAATGTCAGCCCGACCTAGAACAGGAGTCCCCCAAATTATTGCTCTTAGACGAGAGAGTGATAACTTAAGGTCTGCTGGGTTGTCGGGAAAACATTGCTCGAAAAAGAGACTGTTACTTTAACTCGAGGAGACGTTGCTCAAAGAAGAGAGTGCCTTTTGGGTAGAGGAGACGTTGCCCGAGGGAAAGGTTGCTTTTTGGATCGTGGAAATATGGTCGTTAGTTGATTGACCTCCTCGCCCTTCTCTTTAGTTGCGAGCAACCTTTGAAGGATCTTCATATACTGAGTCATTGATTGCCTGCCTTCACGCACTAATCTCCTCGAGGTGCCCGCAAGAGGGTGCTTCGCATCCGCAGAGAAAGCGCGGAATCTTGAGCTTGTCTTCTTGGGGTCCTTGCGAGAGAGTGTTTTATGTTCGCGGGGAAATCACATGAATCTCTTTTGAACTCCTTTCCATGATGCCCGCGTAAGGAGAGTGTCGCCACTATGTCGCGCACGTGCTCATTGGTGAAGGTCTTGAGACCTTGCATCGACGCGTGGCTTCACGTGGGATTCTTTGAAGTTCAAAAGATGTGTTCCTTCACGTGTCACACGTGGAGGCTGTTTAAATTGTCATCATTGTTTGGGGAAGCTTAAAGGCCTAAGCAATGATGACTCATGACACGCTACCCGTGTGGTGGGGACTAGCTATAAAAAGGGGGTGAAGGAATTCTCTTGAACATTTTCACTTTAACTCTCCTCCTGCACCTCCTCTGTTTGCAAGCTGCTTCATTGTTGTTGTCATCATTGTAGGTTTTCCAGCGTTCGTTTGTCTCCAAGTAAGTGATTTTCTTTAAGCTTTGTTAGTTTACTGTAGGGTTTTAGATGATTTTATGAAGTTTTCTGGTGAATTCACGAGTTTTGGGTGAAGATTCATGAATCCTCATGAAGTTTTCAATGAAGATTCATGACTTTCGGTGAAGTTCATGAAGATTCATGACACTTTCAGTGAAGTTCATGGACTTTGGACGAAGATCCATGAGTTTCGTGTAAAGGTTGCTGAGTTTTGGATGAATTTCATGTGGATCTATATTAGGGATTGGCCCCTCGTGAATTGGGTAGATACGGGCAATACAACTCCATGTTAGGGATTAACCCCTCTTAAACTAGGTAGATAAAGATGAGTTGCCTCTCCTCGTGATCTTATGCTCGCTTGGGGGGTTGCTTCCTTCGTGGGTTTCAAGGGCTTGAGTCGAGGACCTCCCCTCGAAGTGTTCCTCGCCCTTTCACTTGATTTGCAGTGGAAGGATGGATTTGATGATGACAGATTCACTATTTTCCTCTACTTTTCAGGTTAAATGGCTCAATCGATCGAGGAGGTGAATTTTCCCGGTCCTCAGGGTGAAGAAAATGCCAATGTGGGCGACAATGCAAATGCGGACAACAATTTGGACTAGATTGCGCCCGAGCCCAAGAATTTGATGTTTGATTTGTCCATTATGCCTCGGATGCCTTCAATGTGGTCGAGGATAGGGTCGAGGGTGATCCTACATCTTGGTCAATTCTCATTTTATACAAGAGCTAGAGGATTTGTTCGGTCTACCTGGACAAGTGCTTTCCAATGTACGAGTTCGCTTTCAAGGAGGCGGAGATGTGTCTGCCATATGCAGTTTCTATGTTGGAGTTTTCAGATGGCTGCACTTGGCGCCTTCCCAGCTTCACCCGGACGCACTCGCGTTCTTGCAGGAATTCGAGATCGTATGCCAGTATCTTAATATTAATGCTACTTTACCTCTGTTCTTTCAGATCTTCCACTTCCAATGGCAAACAGGCAGGAGTCTCCATGCCAATGTGTTGTTCAAGCAACACGAAAATCAGTTTCGACCGTATTTGGAGTCCGTTCAGCATTTCAAGGAAAGGTTTTACGTCATTAAGCCACTATCAGATATGGCCATAGACTCCTTGTACGAGTGTACCGTCGAGATCAAGGATGGTCGGGAGGTGACTAAGTTTCGGGCGAGATTCCCCCTTGAGTGGTAGTGGATGCATTATGAGCAGAAGCCAAAAAGTTATTAGGTAAAGCCCGAGAAGCTGAGCACTCAGGATATGCTTGCCTATGATAAATTGGTGGCCTACGTAAAGAGTTTCTCATCGGCCAAATGCTGGACTCGGACAACAACTTTATTTTTGATGATGAGGGAGAGCACATGGTTGTTGCATGCCTCATAAATACAAAGATGCTCCTCGAGTGCTCATCTGATGAGGAGTCCTTAGAGCTCTTAGGTAGGGGACATGCCCATATTAGATGTTTGTCTGTTTTGTTTTGTAAACTAAACTGTTCCCTTTTTGGATTGCATGTCGAATGGACACTTTCGAAGAACGTCTGCTTAAGATGAGGGGTAAAGTTGGCCAAAAAACGCCCAAAGGGTGTGCTGCCTAGATCTAAGGACAAGCTAAACTTGAGGGCCATGTTGATGGTTCCTCTTCCCCACAAGGTGGTCAAGTTTCTTCCCTTGAATAACCCGCGAAAAGGAAGCGCGGAGAGAGTACAGATTATGTGGCCATTGAAGATAAAGGCAAGAGCGTCAGGGAGATGTTTGTTTTGCCCCCTTGTTATCTCCACTGTGACATCTTTGGCGGGGACGATGCCCTAGGTCTCCATGAAGAGGAGCGAGAAACCATCATGTTTATGGGCAAGGAGGTCCTGCACAAGAATCTGTCTGAGGACGTGGCTGTCGTGATGAGGGTTCTTAAAACATCTTTGACCCTTAATGATGTGGAGACGTGCTCGAAGGAGGAGCTCGACAAAGTGTATGGACGAATTGACAGGTTAAAGCTTCAAAATGAAAAATTGAAGAATGGTATTCTTAATCATGAGGTGAAGTAAGAGTCCTGAGTGCAACTCCTTAAGGAATTGAACGAGCTGAGGCCAAAGATGGAGGAGGTGTTTGGGGAGAATGAGAGGCTTGTTGCCCGAGTAAAAGAGTTAGAGGAGATCGTGGAGCCTATCGAGGAGGAGACTGATGCGGAGATGGCCTTCCAAACGAGGAAATAGTTGATCGACCAGATCTGCATGCTCGAGCAAGATGTCATGGATACCCTCATATATGGTTTTAACATCGTCGTGGCCCAACTCAAAGTCATCAACAACGGGGTCAAGCTCGTGGCCAGGGGGACTGGGCCTTTCAATCAAGTAGTTGACGGGAAGATAATCTATACCCCAGGTGATGAACCTAGATCAAATAACAGGTAGGATGGCAGATATTAGGAGATTTGGGTATGTGTGCCCGTATGTTTGCTCGCCCTGCGTGCCAAATTTTTGTTGTTTTGGCAAGGGGCTCTGCTTGTTTTTGTATATATGACTAGTTTGGGCATGCGTGCCACTTTATTGTCAATGTTTTGGGCTTGCATGCCTTTTTTATATGTAATGACTAAACATTATTGGCCTTTGAGGTCCGCTTTAATATTAATCACTTGCACGTTTAACAATGTTTATTATTTAGCGTTTATCTTTGTCATTTTAATTTTATATGTGGGAATTTGTGCTCGACCTAGTGATGGATGATAATGTATGGAGACATGTTGGGGATATGGATTCAGGTTTTGTTGGGCCGAGGCCAAGGTCACGTTTGGAACCTTAATCTCATGGCGTGAACAATCCCATCGCGAGCTAGGTGTTTTGCCTGTTTGGTACACTAACGGTGGAGCTCGGTCGAGGTGTCCCCGTCGGGCTACAGTCATGCTCGTCCTATAAGCGAGGGTCCGCCTTTCGTTGGTTGGATGCAATGTTCGTACCTTAACATGCTTCCATGGTCGAGCATGATCCCTCGTGGTCGAGGTGGTCAGGTCGACGGCTAAGCCCCAACTTTTGCTTGGGACTTAGCTGTAATATTGTTTTAGCTTATCAGCATTCCAAGGTCAAGGTAGATGTTTCCCATCTAGGTGTTCGAGATATTACGCCCCATTGTTCGTGTTGTCGCAGACGCGGTAGGGACCCTCCCAGCTGGTGGCCAACTTTCCTTCATGGGAATTTTTCTGATTTCTCCGAAGAACTAAACTGGTGATCTGGAACTCACGTTTTATGACTTTGGCGTCATGTTGCAGAGTTATTTGTTACTTTAACTTGTCCTCTCGAAGAGATTCCCCTGTTCCAATCTCTTCGACCAGATCTAGCTCCTCCCTTAGGGCTTTGTCGTTTAACTCCTCTTCAAGAGGGGTTTCAATTCGCCTAGTTGGCCCCCTTATTTCTACGGGGATGACCGCCTCGATTCCGTATGTTATTCGAAAAGGTGTCTCCCTGGTGGTTGTTTGGGGTGTCATTCTGTAAGCCCAGAGCATGCTGTGGAACTCTTCGACCCACCCCTTCTTTACTTTGCATAGCCGGCGTTTAAGTCCCCGCAAGATGACATACGAAATCTCTTCGACCAGATCTAGCTCCTCCCTTAGGGCTCTATTGTTTAACTCCTCTTTGAGAGGGGTTTCAGTTCGCCTAGTTGGCTCCCTTATTTCTACAGGGATGACCGCCTCGGTTCCGTATGTTATTCGGAAAGATGTCTCCCCTATGGTTGTCTGGGGTGTCGTTCTGTAAGCCCAGAGCACGTTGTGGAACTCTTCGACCCAACCCTTCTTTACTTTGCATAGTCGGAATTTAAGTCCCTACAAGATGACTCTTTTAGCGAATTTTGCTTGCTCGTTCGTTTGTGGGTGCTCGACAAGCGTAAAGTGTTGCTTTGTGCCGAGAATAGCGACGAAGTCTTAGAATTTATTGTCGGTAAATTGTGTCCTGTTGTTAGTGACAAGTGCTTGCAGTATGCCGAACCGAGCGATCACGTTTCTTTTTTAGAAACAAAGAATATTGTGCAACATGATTTTGGCGAGGGCTTCAGCCTCTATCCACTTGGTGAAATAATCAACAACGACGATTAAGAATTTTTTTTTGTGTGATCATTGGGGAAAGGGGCCTAGCATATCCATTCCCCACTAAGAAAAAGGCCACGGGGAAGAAAACGTCATGAGCTCGTGCAAAGAGCCAGGTGCATATCTGTATGGCGTTGGCATCAGTCACACTTTTGACGTGCTCTTTGGAGTCCTTCTACACCATGAGCCAATAATATCCTGCTTGCAGTGCCTTTTATGCTAAGGAGTGGGATGAAGAATGCTCGTCTGTATAGTCTTTTCTCAACCAGAACATAAGAGCAAGCCTGACGCTTGGTCGCGTTGGCTTCCTTCTTGTCGGTCGGTAGTTCTCCTTTGGCGAGGTAATTGAACAATGGGGTCATCCATTAGGTGTCATCCCTGATGGCATTTATGTTGAGCAACATAGTGGATCTCTCAATGCTCGGGTGGGAGAGTAATTCCTGAATGACGAATTTGTTTCTGACTTTCTTCCTTGTGCTCGCAAGCTTTGAGAGAATGTCCGCTCGAGTATTTTGTTTATGGAGAACATTTTTTATTTCTGTCTGGTTGAACTTTTTCAGTTTCTCTCGAACCAGGTTTAGGTATTCGATGAGGTTGTCATTCTTCCCGTACTTGGGACGCAACGAGTTGTGAA